ACCATACACCTAAACTCCAACGACAACAGTGACGCGTTTACCAGCAACATCCATAAAAAAAAATAAAGTAGTTCTAAAGAATAGCTCTTTACTCTTTTTTTGTTGTGTTTTCTATTCTAACAGATGATGTTAATTTCGAGTCGACCTCCTTGGATGATGGATCATCGTCGAATCCGTCGTCTGAATCTCGATCCTATCGCCCGTCCTAGGTGGATAAATCCACTCTTACGACGAGCGATCTTCGTCGCTTGCATTTAAAATATCGTATCCCAGATTCGGTTAGCTTTCGTCTTCCAAATCCGGGAGAAAGTATCGATGGATCTTTTCCTGGTGAGGTTGTTTTTTATGCAGCCATGTTTCAATTCGGAGTCCGTCTACCGTTGCCTCTTTTCCTTCAAAATTTCTTAGCTTTCAATCAAGTAGCTCCTTTCCAAATCGTTCCAAATGGATGGTCTACCTTGATTAGTTGCTTCATTTTATGGTCGTACCTCGGGGCGAGCAACCTTTATCCTTTGCGGATTTCATGTCGCTTTATTACCTCAAACATAGTCCGGAGGATAACTTTCACGTTTATGTTGGTTCCCGGAATCAAATTCTTGTTATGGGTCCTTCCTCGGTGAAGCATTGGAAGGACGAGTGGTTCATTGTTGGCGGCGACTGGCTAGCCCATGATGAGAGAGGACTATTCTTTCCTATCCTGACTGAGTGCAGGGAGTTAGGTAAGTAGATTCCCAAGCTCTATCGAGACTTTCGTAGACGTCTATTCTGACTCTTATCTTTCTTTGTTGACAGCTCCTCGTAATTGTGAGCTTACCGTTGAAGCGTTCAATGTCTACCATACCGTCATTCATTTACTTGATACTGAGCGCTGGGGCCCAGATCAGGTTAAGGAGCAGAACCTGGTAGACTTTGGCTTGGCCCCCCTCTCAATCCTCTAGGTAATTGTCGAAATCTTTTCTTCATTTTGCGTGGAAGTCGCTTTTTATTTCTATTTCTATTCGTAGAAATGTCGAGGCGGAGCACCTCCCTGTATGAAAGAGAGCGCCGCCGAAATGCTCGGAGTTTGGGACCCGACTCTAGCCATCTTCGGATATTGAAGTGACTGATTTGACCGAGGAGGAACGCTTTTCTCAACAAGCTCGATCCTCCATGCCCCCTACAGCCCCGAGGCATTCTGCTCGACTCCAAAGGACGTCTGTTCCGTCTGCCTCTCGTGGTCATCTAGGGAGCTCTTCTCATGCTTCAGTCTTTCCATTCTCTGGCCCGTATAGCGCTGATGTCAATAGGGCAGCCTACCTGGAAAGGGCATTTAGCCTTTGGCAAAGACTTGGTGAATCATCAGGTGGGTCAGATTTCGGCCTATCAAACCCTCAGCACAACATCGGCACATGCCTCAGTGACCTCCATGCGGTAAGTACTTCGTAGCTTCAGATAGTTGTCATAGCGTCTCCCCTAATGTCGGTCTCTGACCTTGGCAGGTTTTCAATGGTCTAGTGGTTTTCTCGGGTCGGGTCGTCGATGAACTTACTCAGCCCCGCCACCACTATCCTTCTCGGGAAGAGTTGAATCAAGCTCTCTCTTCCCTTGACCAGACCAACAGCCTTCTGGAGAGCACCCGACGTGAGTTGAAAACGGAGAAGAGAAAATCTCGAGACGAGCTGGCCAACCTATAGAGAAGGCTCGATGAAGCCAACGCTCGTCTCACTGATTCTGAATTCTTGGTCGGGGAATTCAAGAAAACTCAAGAGTACGTCAACTTGCAAAATTCTGCCATGGAGTGCCGCATTTCCTGATCCCTTCGCCAGGTTTCTAATACACACCCCGAGATTGATTACTCCTTCCTTCTGGAGAATTTTAAAGCTGAGCGTGACGCTCCTGTCGACATGGACGATGATGATGATGAATATTAGTGTAACGCCCCAGAACGTTTTACACGTTTCTAGGTAACGTTAACTAAACCACCTGTCTAATCTTATCTCTAAAAACGATATAACCAACTCCCTGTGAAATAATTATATAAAATAAAGCTTCAACTCCTATCAATTCACCAAAAATCAATCCTATAGATTATCAATCAATCGTCCTCCGTGGACAACTCCATAAAACAATTCCATTATTTCAACTAAGCAAACTCAATGAATGGAAGAAACTAAAATAAACACCTATTTTGAGTCAAAGTAGACAACAAGTGGGAACCTCCCAATTAATCAGATAGGAACAAGTAGTTTGTTGTCCAAGCAATAAAGCATAAACCATCTAAACCTAAGCTAAGCAAAAGTAACTACGCAGTCTATGGTCCTCTCTCGTCATGTCTCCTCCACGTCATCGCCATGGTCGTCCACAAAATCTCCGCCTGAAACAATAATTGCAGGGGGGGTGAGTATATAAAAATATACTCCGTAAGTAGTCCTCACCAACTACACACAAACATCATGCTAAAAAATCATGAAACATTCATAGTCATGCTCTTCATTACATTATACGATCAAACATAGACACGCTCTATAAGATCCGGCGATAACCACAACCATGTATGATTCAACTACCAACCTCGAGGCTTCCTAACATCTCAAGCACCTCTATGCTCATCACAGCTATCTTAGCTTTCCAAGGCTAACTCTTCCGAGTAGTGTCGGCCCCTGACCATTTTTACCCAGAGCCCGACACTGCTGCATCGACCCTCGACCATTTTTACCCAAGGCCTCGATGACTTTACAATCTATTGGCCCTTGACCATTTTTTACCCAAGGCCCCAATAGTTTTCCTTTCAAAAGACTCCTCGCATCGACCCTCGACCATTTATACCCGAGGCCTCGACACTCATCTTTATCC